GTTGAGATATTTTAATTTAAAAATTAAAAAAAAATTACTAAAAATAATTTGTCCCTTTTCTATTGACTCACCCCCATTTATTCTTTTTAAATTCAGATAACATAATAAATGATAACCACATGTTTGATATAAACAAATATAGCACTACTTTTTGAACTAGACTCTAGTCAAGAAACCCCTAATAGCAGTAGTAGGTGGCTTGAGATATAAATCTTTAAATAGCAATATCTTCTAGCTTGAGATACAAACTAGTAAAGTATTGGTTAAGATTTTTAAAGCTAGTTGTTAAATTAAAAAAAAAAATTATATAATAAGGTATAGCTTTATATTTAAAATATACAAAGTGTTTTTGGTATATAATTTTTATTAGCTTTGTATAGGTTATAATAGTGCTATTATTAAAAACTTTTTCTGACAATCTCTTATACCAAAACTCTACTAATACTAACTTACGAATATTGTGTAGTTAGTATGCCTTTTCATAACAAAACTTTGCCAAATAGCATCTAGGATCAAGAGCTTCAAATTGCATATAAGCACTATGAAATAGAGTTGAAAAAGACAGCTTCTTGTAGGTTTGGCTTACTAGTAGAAGTCTATAGAGCTATCAAAAAAGTAGCTTTGATGACAACCAAGAAAGTTTTTGTCAAGTTATATCTGAGCAAAAGCAAGGATAGAAGCTTGGATAAATATACTATTCTATATAATATAAACTTTTATACTTCTTGTTTTGGTGCATACTCTGGTCTGTTATTTTACCCACTTGTATTTTCAACAAAATTTTTGAAAAAAGTGGGCAAAATAGCTTATCCTCAACAGAGATCAGCATTGTTTACTTCTTCCAAATCTGAACAACTAGGTGGATTGCAACCATGTGTTTTGGATAATCATAATAATAAACATGATGCTACCTACAGAGGTCAGGAGCTTTAATTTAATTCATATCCAGATTTGATTATATTTTAGAAAAAAGATTTTATAAAATTTTATAATTGAGATATACTATAGTTGCATTAGTTATATAATTTTTATTATTTGACTACAAACTATTTCTTGATAGAGGTAGATTGGTTAGCCTATAGAGGCTTTTTTCTTTATTTTTCTTTTTTTATATTCACCTGTTCCTCCATTTGTCTTCCTTTTTGATTTCTATTTCGATTATATATTTTTTTTTAGTTTTAGTTTTCTTTTTGCTTTTTAATATTATTTCTGTATCAGTAATGCAGAATTTTACTTTCTTGTACTCTTGGTAAAGAAAGAAAGATTGAAAGAATTAGTTCTTGATTGGCTGACAAGGTCTCCTGACACATATGTGAGTTAGTGTGACAAGGCGCAGTATCTGTAGTCAGGTAATGCTGAGCTCATAATTGCAAAAGATGTTTACTAGAAATAGGTTTTGTTTTAAGACAGATTTCACTATGTAAATATTTGTATTAAAGCACCAACAAGACTGTCAAAGAATAAAAAAAAAAATAAAAATAAAAAAATAAATACTTTAATTTATTATAAGAGTTTTTGTATTAGTATTTAAAATATAGTGTTTTTTTTAATACTTTGTAAATATTTTTAGATTTACAAAAGTTAATTCATAAATATATAGTCTAAAATTTATCTTCTGCACAAATTGTTTTTAAAATTTGGTATAAGCATTCAAATTACTAGTTGTAATCTATTAATTAATATATTTATTTAGTTAATAAATTAATAAATTAGCAATTAGATAGCAAAATTAGGTAAGAAAGTTATCTAAAGAGCAAATTCTTGGAAATTTACTAATAAAAGATATAATTTTATAGTTCTAGATATAGCTTACAGAGTTAAAAATTTTTTAGATGAAATTTTAAATATTTGCAACAAAATATTTCAATATTAATAATTAATAAGATATTTGATTAATATGAGTTCTTAAAATATCTAGCTGTGCTATTGAGCGTAGCTTTTCTTTATATAGTACTCTTTTAGATAATGATCGCCAAAATTTATCTAAAGAATCACTCAAACAATTATCTATGATGTATTTTAACCGAGATTGAATTATTATAGAAATTTTTTATATAAACTCCGTTTTTATATATATATATATATTTTATTATGATAGTTTTTTTTATATTTTTATATGAAACTTTTTTACAGATCAATAAAAAATATTTTATCCGTTATCGCAAAATTTCACAAAATTTAAATTAAATCTTAGAATCGCTCCAAATTTATCCACAAGAAATCACAAAATTCACTTTATATTGCCACAAAATTGCTTCTTATCCCGCCACAAAAAATCATCGTCCCCGTATTGTGTCACGTGATGGTGATCTTTTTTACATATGTATATATATACATTAGTATTGATATAGTTTTCCTAAAAAAATAAGACTTTAGAACGTAATCCGAAAAATAGTTAAGCCCATTTCAATTTATATAGGTTTTTTAAACAAATTAGTGTTTCTATACAAAGTTATTTATTTCATAGGCTTCTTAAGGATTCGAAGTTTCAGTTAAATTCGCAAAAATTACAACTTTAATAAATATTATATTTATTGTTTGATTAGTACATATAAATTATAAATATTTGTATTTTTTCAATTGTTTACAACCAAAGATATTTGCTTTACTGATATCCATTTTAAATAACTAAAAGGCTATGGATCGGTAAGTGGCTTAATGTAATCTTTCCAATAACTTGGTATTCCAATACAGTTTGGTGCAGCTTTAACGGTATTAAAATATTCTAAATTGATTATATATATAGTTAATATGAGAAAAATAAATAATTTATACGGTCTAGAGTTTGGAACCGGTTTTATATTTCATAAGTTAAAACCGGGCTTAATCGGGTTTAACATATGAAAAATAAAACCGGTTCCAAACTCTAATAGGGTCAACCCTCCGTAAATGCATTCTAGAGAGCAATAAGAAATAAGCTTTAATGGAGATTAAAGCATATATTTGAGCTAGAGTTTTGGCTTGCATTTAAAGAGTCTGATCGTATTTTTTTCAAAGCTTAAAAAAAACAAGTGCGTGTCACCAGCGGCGACAGTCATTGGAGTGACAAATCAGATCGTGTAAAAACCAAAACAACAAAAACGCGTCAAAACTACTGTAGGATTAAGGTTAAGATAAAGTATGTTAGGATAGAAAAAAGTTTCGTTGGTGAAAAATTGTGATAGTAGAATTTTCGCGCTTTTGGGTTACACGTGATTTTACGATCCAATTAATCGATCGAGCTCCGGTGACCATCACTGCAGGTTACAAATAGACTTGCTCTAAATATATTTCTAAAGATATACCTTTATAAACATCACCGTCGAATTTTCCCAAAGGAGCTTGCAAGATAAAATCTGGATATCCCCACGCATCGACGAGAGGTATAATTTCTTTTCTCAACTTTTTACACATCCCGAAGTAAGCATTTTTTACAATATTAGCTTGTTCTTTTCCAAAATAACCTTCTTCTAAAAATTCTTTTAATGATTCGTATATTAAATGAATTGACCATAATTGTCCTAATTTTGTAAGAATTGGACATAAATTTTGAAACTCTGGAATTGAATTTTGGTATTTAGAAATGCCTTGAATATACTCCGAAAGACAATATCTGAATGAGTGAAGTTCTGAAAGACGTATCAAAGAGATTTGATTATTGTTCCATGTTACAGATGAATCTTCTTGAGATTGTGTCAATCTCGGGAAAAGGTATTGTAACTGAAGATTTCAATTTGTTATTTATTAGAATGTTAACATTTAATTTCCAAATAATAATAACAATATTATATTATTATTATTATTATTATCATACGTTACTCTGGATATATCGACAATTTTTTTTCATTAGCAAAAAAATTCAAATGTCGATATAGAAAGATCTACTATGATGTCGTTATATCCAAATGTCAGTATAACCAGAGTGACGTGTGTTATTATTAAGAATTACCTTTTGTCCAATTAGCCAAGTGTACATATCCAAATTGTATTTCATATCATATAATTGCTTTTCATTTAATAAATCACTCTTAACGGTTTTTGAAAATTGTTTAATATTGTTAAAATATTCAACAGATCCAGAAAGTTGTTTCCCTTGGACCATTTTTTCGTATGAGCTTATCAAGTATCTCTAGAATATAATAAAAAATTTTCAATATATACACAATAATATTATAACAGATATTATAAATAGTAATATAATCATATTTACGGCTGTTTGTTGTAAAAGCACAAAATTATCACCACCGCCTAATTCAAGAAAAATCGACAAATCAAGACAAACAAAACCATAGACGAATAAATTTCATATTAAAAGATTTGAAGTTACCGGTAGTAGTAACACCCCAATCTCCGATAGCAGGTCCGATAGCATTATAAGCTGAATAAGCGTGACCACCCAGAGATCTTCTACATCTTTCAAACATTTCACTACCCCACCATGTTATGGTTGCTTTTAGGCCTGAAGATAATGCATGTATATCAGCAACGTTTTTTAAAAACTCAGCTTGATTCGTATGTATTTGTTTTATTAACTCTTCCCATTGGATTTTAATAACACTAATTTAGAATTTGCAAATAATACGCTTTAACTTATTGATAAATACAGAGAGAAAAAAAGATTAATTGTTTAAAGAATATATTAGATAAAGATTACCTATCCACGATATTAATAACATAAATGCTAGCAACACAAGGAACAAGTCCGACGTAGTGAGTTTGATAATTCATAATTTGTCCATCATCAACACTCTGACGTCTAACACAACCATATCTACAAGCAATAGTCAACGCTCTTCCCAAAGCATTTTGTGTTCCAGAGAGAACTGTTAATCGTTCGCCAATTAAAGGCGTATAAGCAATTGCAGGATTTTGTGGTGGTATATATTTTCCATCTTCAGTTACTTTTGACCATTTCATTAACATATTTTTTCGTGGAATACGAACATTAGAAAATTGTATCCATCCACTATCTAGGCCATGTCGACCATATTTTGCACCAAGATCGCCAGCCGTAATTCCAGGAAGTAAATGACCAGTTTTACGATCTCGCAATGGGACTACAAACCAGTTAATGCCGTGATTTTCTGAATCAATTATAATTTGACATATTGCAACAGTATGCGTAGCTGTCTGAGATAAATCGATTAATAAACATAATGTACAGTGTTTTTTTTTTTTCGATATTAAGTTTAAATACCTGGCCTGCCATTCCTATCCACCTAGTAGTAGAAATATTTCATTAATTAGATGTTTTAATTAAGATTTAATTTTAACACTTGCAATACCATTTTGTAGCCGTTAAAGTTGGGGAATTGATAATAAATTCGTCATGAATTCTATCATAAGTTGCAGTAGTTTCTAGACCACGTATAAAAGAACTATTAAATTATAGTAAATTTTCATGGTGATTATTATACAAATTTCCTCATATAAGAAGACGAACCTGTGACCCAATTCAGTCTAAAATAAATCGTAAACAAATATTAATTTGATAATTTGCATCGACTATCATATGGACATTGTAACCTTTACCATAGCAAAACATCCAATAATTCTCCAATTTAAAACATCATCCATCCACTCGTCTTAAAATTCAAAATAAATTGTAAAATCAATAAAATTTATTTGAAATGATGATAATATTATTATTATTATTAGGAAATTGATATTTCCAACCCTTTTTTGATAATGCCACACCCTCGCCGATCATTCTAATTTTTTTAAAAACTTTAATTGAGATATCGACAAAGATCTAATCAAATTCGTTGAACTTTTTTTATTTTAATTGTAAAAATCTGTAGAATTTAAAGAAAAAAAAGTTTATCGAAGTTGATCAGGTGGATGCCGAGATATCTTCGATCAAAGTTTCACAACAATCTGTAACGCGGCTTCTACTTGATAGACGTTCAAAAAATTTACAAAATCTTTGGTCGAGGATATCTCAACAACTACCTGACTAAATTCGACGAACTTTTTCATATTTAATTGCAGAAATTTGTAGAATTCAAAGAAAAAAAAGTCGTCAAGTTTGATCAAAGCTTCACAACCTGCAACGCGGCTTCTATTTGATAGACGTTAAATTTACAATACTTTGATCGAAGATATCTCGACGACCACCTGACCAAATTCGATGAGCTTTTTTTTAATTTTAATTGTAGAAATCTGTAGAACTCAAAAAAAAAAAGTCTGCCAAATGTGATCAGGTAAATGTCGATATATCTTCGATCAAAATTCGAAAAATTGTAAAAATTAGAATGATCGGCGAGAGTGTGGCATTATCAAAAAAAGGGTGTGGAAATATCAATTTCATATTATTATTATTATTACTATTATTACTATTATTACCATTACTATTATTTAAAAAGAAAAAAAAAGTACCTTGCTGTTCTTTTGTTCCGAAAAATTCAATCGATTGGCGAAATAAAGTATTGTGAACATATGTTTTCATCGAAAACGCTTCAGAATAAATGCTATAATCATTAAGCATGATTATTTAATCGCTAAATAACAGTTCAATAAATTTTTTATGAAAAACAGGTATAAAACAACTTACCACATCGCGATTTCTAAGGCTCTACGTAATAATGGATCTTTTAAAGTTTTGTGAGCTCTTTGGTATCTCAAGACTTGTCGTTGGACGCTTCACAATAGTAAAAACGGAGAATTATAAAATTATCAACAATAATTAACACATCATAAGAGAAGGAATAGAAAGAATTACAGTTCACGTTGCTGAGGTTGAGTCATATCAAAACTATGCCCACCAGGAATATAAAGGTCTGGGTCGCGTTGTATCATTTGGTACGCATCAGACTATCGGTAATATGATAAAATTCGAAAAAAAAACTATAAATTATGAAATCATAATTGCCCGACAAAGTTAAATATATACTTACTAAAGCTTTCGCGAATTCTTTTGAACCACAAAATAGCCAATACATATGCTCAACGTTGAAACTCGCATTTGACCTTTCGTTTGCTAAGTCTATTGAGCCTGTTGGTTGAGTGAGATGGTCTTGTATTAAGTTAAGACGAGCTAACGCATTGTTTTTTGACATTTTAGAATTTTCGTGCGTACGTATCGATATTTCAATTTCTCAGATCATTAGGGCTGCCGTCAATAGAAATAAGGCAGATCTACATTTGAAAAAAAATTAATACCTTAACTTTCACAGTTCATATATCGATGAATTTTAAAGTTATCTTAATGATTTAATATTCAAATGAAAGCTTACGATTTAAGCTTTCTTTTGAATATTAAATCATCAATATAGCTTTAAAATTCATCGATGTATGAGCTGTGAAAGTTAAGGTATTAATTTTTTTTCAAATGTAGATCTGCCTTATTTCTATTGACGGCAGCCCATTAAATCCTGAAATCGATCGGCAAAACAATGTTGCACAATCTGACTATAATGAATCTAATACTGTATAAGATTAGTCGCACTCACTCATTTTTGATATCTATAAATAGAAATTGAATACGTACTGTATTTATCATGTCTCTAAATAAAATAAACAAAATAAAATTATAACAGATAAACAGATAAATACTTTTTTTTAGGGTTCACTAATATTATTACCATGAGATGATATTCCAGTATTCTGGTCGATTTTTCAAAATTTTGTACAAAACCCAGAATTTCTAATTCTTTGTTGGTTTTAAAAGTAATTATGCATATTACTTTATATCATACATACAGTAACTTATAACTAATTAGCTGTTTTTTAACAGACATTTAAAAGAAATAGATGCATGACAAATAGATGCATAACAAATAAAAGAAATAGATGTATAATAAATAAAAGAAATCGATGCATAACAAATAAAAAGATAAAATTCGCGTAATTAATGCTTTTAAATAGCATTGTTCGTGCAATGCAATTAATTAACAGTTTAAAACATAATTACGTAATGAATATTGCTAAACGAAATATTTGGGGTCTTTGCCTTGAAAATGACCTTACAGGACTATGTAGATTTTATGAATTAAATTAAAATTTCTAGCCATCTAATAATCCAATTCAAATAATTTTTTTTTTTTTTATTTTGTAGAACTCACTAAGCTCTACAAAATAAAAAAAAATTTATTTAAATTGGATTACTGGATAACTAGAAATTTTAATTCTTATTCATAAAATCTACAGTCCCGTAAGGTCATTTTCAAGGCAAAGACCCCATTTATGTATTGTTGGCTAAGCATTTTTGGAGGTAGATTAGTGAGTGAAATAAATTTCTATTATTTGTATTTATAATTGTTTTTCACGGATATAACGCATATTTTATTCATTAATGTTAAAAATATCGATATTATACATGAAAAGCTCTATCACGAAGGTTTAATACAAGAAAGCTAAAAATAATTTAATTTAACTCCATCATATCTTCTTCGTCATCTTCGTTACTGCCATCTTCGTTACCATCGCCTTCAATACCATCATCGTCATTATAGTCTTCATTATCATCTTCCTCATTTTCATCATAATCTTCATCTTCAAAATCGTCTTCTGAGGTTCCGTAATATTCATCAACATCGTCATCGTCATCATCAGAATTATAAGACGCATAATATTGACAAGTTGGCTCGTGATAATGATTACCTTTTTTACGAATATTTTCGTAATCACCAAGGCATCTATTTTCAATTTCAATTTAAGCAAGTTAAAAAAAAACGACAAATTTCAAAGGATGAAAAATGGTCAAATGCTTACAGCCAACAAAATTCATAACCACAACGGCAACTCATATGGTCGCATCCACTATTTTTCTCAATAGACATTTTACACCTTGGACATGGTTTAGTATGACGTTCATAATAGGCACGATTAGCAGCATAATCTTTGGTCTGCAATTGCTCGGAGAATTCATCACAGGTCAATCCTGTGTGCCAAGGAACATCATGAGTGAAACATGATTTTGCACTACAAGCTTCGCAAGTGATTATTGGTAATCTATCTATAACGAAAATTAAAAAATATATTTAAGTTATCCAGAAGGAAAAGAAAATAATTTGTAAAGAGCTTACCTCCGGTTGTATGCTCTTGACCGGAACCGCACTTTGGAGCCTTGCACCAACGAAAATCTTGAAGCTTACGAATTGCAGCTCGCAAAAGAAGAGTATCGTACCTTATTTTAAAAGATATATACATTTAATAACCTATATGATTTAAGAAATAAAACTTATATCACCTGTCGAATAACTCTTTTGGAGCCAATCTTTTTACATCATCATAAGTCAATTCTATCATACAGCGAGATTTTGGACAACGCACTTGAATTTCACTTCCTTTAGTATTCAATTCTGCTTCAATGTGTCGCTTTATGCAAGTAGAGCAAAGGTCATTATGACCACAAACGGACGAAATTAATTGAACAGTTGTGTAGTCTTCACAGCAAACACTGCATTCTGACTTCGTTGTCGTCATTATAGACAAGATTTGAACTAAAAAGCAGCACAACTAATTCGGCGATGGAGCAAATATAATAAGAGGTTTGTGTATGTGTATGCGTGTACAAAATCATATGATTAAGCCTCATTCATTAAGATATAAATACGGCATAACGATAATGACAATTCTGGAATAATGTATATTAATTTTTAAAGAATATCAACGGTCAAGAATGTATTATTGTTTGTCTGCACAAACTTAAAATTATCCGTATTAGTAAATAAATTACTATATAACGGATATGATCAAGTAAAAAGATTTTGAGATCAAATAATTCACTCGGTAATTTTTACGTTTAATGTTTTGTACAGTATATTAACGATAATTATTAATAGTAAAATATGTACAGTAGTTATAAACCATTATATACCCACAACTGTTTAATGAACTCTCATTATCACAAATATTTTTTTATTAAACCCCCAATATTCGAAACTTAAATTAAAAATAACCCTATAATAAATCATTGATAATAAATTTTTACTATTAATACCCATTATAACTGCAATTAAAAGACGTATTGAGAGGATTATGTTTTTTGTTTGATTTTGTAAGTTTTTACATACAAGATTAATTTTTTTTTTTTTCTTTTCCATTGAAATTAAATTTCAAAATAACCACATAATAACCAATGACCCTATACTAATCCACAATTCAATATCTTTAAACCAATTACTCATAATATTTCCTCCACTTTGAGGTAAGAATGGCTCGTAAGACGAAGTAGGCACCTGACTTGTAGTTGATGATGCGCTACTACCAGTATATGCTATCGGGGTAGGTGTTGTAATAGTTACTGAAGTTGGAGCAGTGTTAACTGGAGTGGTGATAATGGTACTATTTGTAGTAGTAGAATGAGACCTGGTTGTTGTAGTATTTGTCGTAGTGGTAGTGGTAGTGGTAGTGGTAGTGGTAGTGGTAGTGGTGGTGGTGGTGGTAGTGGTGGTGGTGGTAGATGAGTCGGATGATTCCGTATCGGTTGTAGTGGTTGTGGTAGTTGTGCTAGTTGTATCTTGAGAAATTACTGATGGTAAACATATAGTGAATAACAGGAAAATTAGAAATAAAAAGTGAAGCTTTCGATGCATTTGTCTTTTTGTTTTTTTTTTTTTTTGTAAATAAGTGGATGCGTTTTTAAATAATATTAAAAGAATTTTGAATTATTATTTTTACTTTTATTATTCTTCGTTTGCTAATTCGGCAATATTAATCATTATTGAAAAAAAAAAGTAAATTAACTTTTCGAATTTGAGTTGGTATTTAATGCAAGTTATAAAGCTATGCGCATTGATATAAATAACTACGATATTGTACACATGTAACATCCAAATTCAGTAAAACTATTGGGCGCGAACGTACATGAGTTGTACCGCAAGTTATTAACTAACCATAGATAGACTTCACGTCAAGGATACTCTTAACCTATATACGTATGTACGTAATGTGCTTATGTCGCAGAATTAGAAGATGGGACTATATGGCGAACTTTAAAAGAGTATACGTATCATAGTAAAACAATGGGTATATTTAAAGCATGACAAACACAATACGCAACTTGTAACTGTATACATTCCATAATTAGTAAAATAAATCGTTCAATGAATTATTCTGAATTTATATAAATTTGGAGAAAGTATTTGTGCACCAAATGCACAAAGATTTCATAAGGGGGTTTCTTTGATAAGATTTCATTCAGTGTTAAAAGAGACCCGTTGTCTGGGGATCTTTATGGTGTATACGAACTATTGCATTCAATATAACATGTGATGACTTTATAAGCAACTTCAAATTTCAAGTTCGAATACATGTATTATATAATTTCGGTCTTTATGATTTTACTTTTTTTGGTATAATAATGTTTCTAAATTTGTCAACAAACGGCATGAGGGTTTAAAGTGGTTACGAAACCATGTATTAGTTTCGTATAAATAGCGTAAAGGGTTTTAAACTGTTAATTGCAAGTTTATACAAAAGTGGTAGCTCCTTCGATAATTGATATAGTGCAAAAGCACCTGGCCAATCATTAATATGCCAATTTATTCAAAATTCTTGGTTTTTTTTTTTTCTAAAAATTGCTACGTACTACTCGGCAAAATATTATAAATTTAAAATACTCAAGTAGATCTTATACAGAATTGTAATGGTAGTGGGGGCATCCACTTATTTGCGCGGGTAATACAAACCTCCAAAATGGAAATGGCCAATCAGAGAACACAAATTTCGGGTATTCCGGATCAGCCCGACATAGAATCCGAACACGTGCGAAAGAAGAAAACTAGTGTTTAAATCGACCTTTGTGGATTAATAAAAAATAACGGGATGAAATTTACATAAGAAACTCCAACTTATCGCCAAAGCTCACAACCCTAATGTCCTAATCCTAAACTTCTATTTTTACGCACTTAATTTATTTACAAAATTTGATTTCCTTTTTTGGTTTGTGTTATCCGCGCAAATAAGTAAATCGGTAATGGGGGCCCTCACCAACTTAAAAAAAATCTTTGCAGTTAAATTAGGATTAGGTTTTGCTATTAAGTTAGGTTAAAAGAGCTTTTCTAATACCAAAACTTCGCAAGGAAAAATTTTTGTTAGTGCGCAGAAGGCAATTTCATAGGTAAAATGCTAATTTGTGATATCTAAATATGATCACACTGAAATAGGCAATGCACTGTATGATCATGCAATGCTCGTCTGTCATGCAGCTAATCAACCAATAAAAATTCACACCACATATATCGTTTCAGATAATATAACCTATTGGTTGATTGCTTCGAACATCTACATATCAGTTTCTGATCACTTAGTATTAATATCGGCTTATTTTAATCTAATCAATTTAGATACGTATTACTAAATAAGCTGATATTAATATTATCGCATTATTTATCTTATTTAGATATTACAAAATAAGCATGATTAGCCTGTATATAAGGTAAAAAGATTTTTTTATTTTTAATAATATAAACCTATTATTTAAGTATAATATATATTGTATATACAGTATATAATACTAAACAAAATTTGTATAAAAATAAATAATAACAACTAGATTAATAAATTGTATAACAAATTTAAATTTTAAAGAAAGTAAAAGTATTTTGATAAACTTTGGCTATTTTGAATACAACAATTAGAATTAAATAAATTTTTTATTATTTAATACAGTATGTTTTAAATAATAGTAAAATATCTAATTTTTTAATTACTTTATTATATAATAAAGGTATATAGTAAGTTATGCCAAAGTTAAAAAAAAAATTACTATATTGCAAAATAATTACTATATAATAATCAAGTTTTTATTTTGTTAAAAATTTTTTTAAAATTGTTTTTATATTATATTTAATTAATATAGTAATATTTTTATTTTTTTTTAATATTTAGAGGAATACCTTGGGTGTAGTACCTATCCCAAACTTTTATTAATACTTAAGTGAATTAATATATAGTCTGCTGTTAATAGAAATTAAACAAATTTATATTTAAAAAAAAATTAATATTTTAATTTTTACAGCTTATATCTTGATAGATTTTAAGCCTATTTTGATAATTTAATATTTAAAAAAAAGCTTACTATTTTATCTTTCTTTTAAATATTAAAGTATCAAGATAGCTTTAAAATTTATTAAGATGTGGCTATAAAAGTTAAAATATTAAGTTTTTTTTTAAATATAAATTTGTTTGATTTTTATTAACAGTAGCTTATATAGCAATGCTATAAATATATATATATTATATATTAGGATTAAGACTAGAACTTTAGATATACAAACTATTTATCTATAACTAAAACCTACCAGTTCTATTAATATTTCTATATATATAATTGATATAAATTTTGTATATTTTTATCTATTTTCAATTAACTTCCATATATCTTCTACTTTATTCACTTTATCTACTATTTTAATTCTCAAATTAATATATTAATACTTTAAATAGATATTTTCTGCTTCTAATTTGGTGTATTTAGTTTGTATTTCTACTTGGTATACTTGTTAGAAGTTTATATTTTAAGCCATACAGCTACCTCTACTACTGTATATTAAGTAAGTATCTCAAGCCTATATGGGGTGAAGTCAATAGAAAAGTGACAAATCATTTTTAGTGAAATTTTTTTAATTTTAAAATTAAAATATCTCAACAACTAATTAATCAAATTTGTTAAAAATTTTTTTATTTTAAATTTAAAATTATATAGAATTAAAATAAAAAAATATTTGTTAAATTTGATAAGATAATTACCAAGATATTTAAGCTTAAAGTCAAGAAAACTTTTACTTAGAAAAAATTTGGCTCTTTTCTATTGACTCCACCTCATATAAATTTTGATTTTTATACAATTACAATTTTTTATAATTATTAAAATGTTGTTTTCCAACCTGGTGATTATATTGAGATCTGACTGTAATCAAAAATCTTTATTTTTGTTATATAGCTAATATAGCATATATTATAAATTAAACTCTTTATAATATAATTCTTACTATATCTTTAAATATAAATTTTGCTAAATCTTATTGCAAGTAATCATTACTACATATAGTTTTTTGCTAAAATTTAGAATTAGGTGACTTTATAAATTAAGGTTAGAGTTAAAAATATTGGATTAAATTTAGTAAAATAGTTTTTTAAGATTCTAAACATTTTTACTTAAAACTTCTAACCCTAATTATTTAGCACATTTTTGAGATATAGCGTTGTAGTGATAATTAAGATTTAGCAATACCCAATAAATTACAAATAAATTTATAACAATTTTTTAGACAAATTCGCCTATAGTTTAAGGGATAATATAAATTATATAAAGCTAGAGTTTTAAATAAATAGTAGAAAGCTGTTTACTACCAATAAATTCACTTAGTATAAAAATCTAAAACTTTAAATTTGATAAATATTTATAACCAAAAAAGTTTAAATGCAGTAAATAAACGTGTGGCTAGTTATACTTTACTATAATATCATAATGTAATAAGATTACTGTGATCTAAAATATACACTAACTTTTAACATTAAAAAAAATTATATATATACTAAAAACATCAATGAAGTTCTAGTTTCGAGACTTGAACAAAAGAAAAAATTGTCACGGCTAATATGAAATTGGCTGATACTGAAATTTGGGGCTTGAAAATATAAGCCCTGTTAAAATCCACCTATACTCGTTAAATATCAAATCGAACCCTAAGCCCTAACCTAACCCTAATAAAAGCAATAAAAAATTTTAAAATTTCATATAAAATACAGTAGTTCCAAATTTCAGTATCAGAAATTTTGAATTTTTTTGGCTTATACACAGTACCGAATAGCAAAAAATATCCAATATTTACAGTAATTACTTTGCATAGAAATTAAGTGCTCTGCGACGGACACTCCGGACAATACAACTATATATATATTCGTTTAGTATATTTTTTCTAATCGATATAAGATACAATGACGTAATTCTCATTTAATTGAATTTGTACTTACTCGTGACATGCTACAACATTGCGTGAATCGTAGGACAACTGATACAAAAGTAGTAAGTTTAATAAATTCAGACCCTGTATAAAAAGAACGGCTGTTATTTGCCAGATTCTACCTTTGTCCTACTGACACGCTTGTTCTTAAAAAAGGGAAGACTGAATCGCTACATAAGTACCAACTTTTTTCAAAAACGAATATCAAGACCTGAGCATTTTGACACTATGTCCTCGACTCCAACCTCTGTTCAACCTACAGGACAATCCGGGGAGAGCAAGAAGGAGGGAACTAGCACTGAGCATATCAATCTCAAAGTGGTTGGAAGCGTAAGCATTTGTTTTTTTTAAAAAAAGGTTTGCTATTAAATTATTTATTTCGTATAATGAAGTGACGCGTCGCATTCTTTAGGATCACAATGAGATGTTCTTTAAAATTAAGCGAACAACACAACTGAAAAAGCTGATGGACGCTTTTTGTGAAAGACAAGGCAAGGCTTTTAACTCGCTTCGTTTTCTTTATGATGGTGAACGCGTACAGCCTCACAACACTCCGCTTGAGGCATGTTTAATTCCATTTTAATGGTTACCTTTTATATTTTTTATATTGATCTTTATGATATAATGGTGGTTTTTTTAATTTTTAGTTGGAAATGGAAGATGGTGATGCCATTGATGTTATGGTTGAACAAACAGGTATATTTATGTGCTTGTTTTATGAGCTCTCACTTTCTCCAGCGATTATATCGATATGGCATCTTGTATGTTAATGTCTCAATTTTATGATTTTTTTTAGGCGGTTGCATTCAATGTTGTTGACTGGAATCAGGAATACCATTGGACTTCCCGATTTTCAATATTTCAGTGATCCCAATGACAAATTACACTGGAAAAATAATCTCACTGGAATGAATCAATAAAAGTGCACATATAGTAGTTAATATTAACCAATCATAAAGTCATGTATACTGTCATATGAATTTCTAAATATATATGTTATTTTTTAGAAATTAATTTTGATAGATGTATATTGATACTTCTAGGGAATATCATAGGAACTGGATCTGCACTCAGTGCAGTATATGTTGGTAAATGATGATGTAATTTAGTTATAACTTATAAAAAAAAATCATATCAAATATGCCTCTTACATTACGATAAGTTGTAACTAAGCTACGTTGACATATCGGCACCTATAGAATCACAAAGCTGGAAGTTATGGATGAGTATTCGTAAAACTTGAGATCTGTCCGATCTCGACCCCATGATACTGATTCTAATCGTTTAGGTGAAGTATAAGATCTTAAAAATTAAAATCCTTGCTGTCAAAATCCCGATGGTCAGGATTTCAAGAGATAGGTAAAATAATATTAGTAACAATTAACCATGTTTTATATCATATATCAATATATTATAAATTGCGTTACATTTGTCATGTGATATTGGTTGCGTACGTTGAAAATTTAATTTAGCATATATTGTATCTCGGACCGCTTCTCGCGGTAGAGTCGTCCCAATGAAGTCCCAATGGATCTTTTGATATGAAAAGTTACGGCGTGGCGTAACTTTTTATTAAGCTACAAATAAGCCGTATCTCAATTTGCTGTATCTCAAAAATTCATTGGGACTTCATTGGGACGATTTTACCGCATCACTATTCTCGACCTAGGCGACGACTGAGGCATTTCAGGTATCGATTATGAGATGAGATGTGGTGTATAACCTGTCGAAGTTCTTGATCATTATTTGAGGCAAGGGAGTTGATAGAAATCATTTGATTTTTTAATGAGTCGATTAGCTAAAGTATCAGGTATAATTTTGGCTAGAATTATTAAAATTAAAAATTATTTATATAGTTTAAATTATAATTTTATAATAAATAATGATAAATAATTTTGATTCACTAAATCAATTTAAATAATTTAATTACTAAAATAATTTTTTTAATAAGAGAAGTTTAATAAGCTTAAATTTATAAAATTTTAAAATTGATATATACTATAAATATACAGTATATATATATACTGTATACTGTATATATTGTATATACTGTATACAGTATATATACAGTGTATATTGTATATACAGTATATATATACTGTATTTATAAAATAGAATTAGAATTAATTAAATAAATATTAATTAATTAATAAGAAATAAATTAATAATAATAAAAAAAAAAGAAATAATAAATGCTAAATTAATTAGAAATAAATAACAATAATAAAAAAAGAAAAAAAAAAAGAAATAATAAATACAAAATTAATTAGAAATAAATTAACAATAAAATAATAATATATGCTAAATTAAAAAATTCATTATAATTATCAAATTGCAAGTCTCATGATCTCTTATAGTTAAATAATAAAAATAACCAATTATCTATTTTACTTTAAATCTAAAAAGTAATAAAAGAAAGCAAGTACTATTTATATAACTTTCAAGTTTTAATTAAGATTTAAGCTTGAAAGTTATATAAATTAACTTTATTATAACAATAAGTTATCTAACATATTTAACAATATAAAACAAAGTTAAATTATTACAATAACTAAGTTATCTAAACATTTAAATAATAGAATGACAAAGTTTAATAATAATTCTAATTAAACTAAATTATTATACTAATAAATCTGTTTAAACATGTAAGTATATAGAATTTATGATAACAAATTTGTTTAAATATTTAATACTAAAATATATAAAATAATATAATTATAAAGTTAAATTATTCATATGCATATGACAGACACATATTCGTTACCAAGAACTCTCTCCTGCAGATCCTCGTACCAAAACTTAGCTAAAAGAAAACTCGAAATAACAAGCCAGGAGCTCTAGCAAACAAGACTCCAGTATTAAGACAAAGTAAAGCAGTCTTCAAGGTCACAGCAAGTTACTTAGAACCAGCAGACGCCCAAACACTCAGGAAAGAAAGTAGAAACAACTCTGCCACCTGTTAAAATTTTTCGTCAAAAAAGTCTAGTTTGGGGATTTGGCTATAACCCTGTAACGTAGATCAATTGTAACAACAAACAGCACGTGATATATTAAAGCCCAAACAAGAAAGAACACGTAA